CTCTCTCTCTCTCTCTCTCTCTCTCTCTCTCATCCACTGCCCCTTTCCCTCACTCATGCTCTCTCTCTCTCTAAAAAAAATTAAATTAAAAAATTAAATTAAAAATAATTTAATTAAGAAAATAATAAAACTATTTGAAAACAAAGAGGAGATAAGTTTCTGACAGTAACCATGTTAACTTTTCCCCTGAAATTTGAAAGAAAAATAAAGGAAAAAGAGTGGTAGTATCTCTACTTCTGTCAAGGGGAGCATAGTAGCTGGAATGCACAACTAACTCTGATAACTTTTATTAGTGGCTGGTACTAACTATATGTTATAGTACCTTTCTGGTGATTCTAGATCAGTAATATGGAGCATAAAAAATATGTTTTCGTATTAAGGGGAGAGTGAGGTGGAAACCAGCCTTTCTTGGATACTTACCATGCACACATTAGTACTTCTCACTGCTTATGCCATCCTTGTAAAGTAACAGGCATTTTCCTCCTTTTTACAGGTGAGGAAATAGAGATGAGAAGAAGCATTCCACTAGTTAATGAAATTATCTGTTTATGCATTTGCCTCCCATATTAATCTGTACAGTCTCCACAGACAGAGGCCAGACACATTTGTCATTTTACTTTAGCTTTTTAATGGAGTGTCTGGCCCATAGTAGGTGTCCTGCGAAGTTTCTTGAATGTAGAAGGTAACTTGCCCTAGATCACATACATAGTGGAAGAATGGTGGAGGCAAAAGCCTGTGTTCTTTTCCACTGTATCACACTGTCTATTCCCTGTCACCTCAAGAATGGGTTAGGAAATGGTACTGGCATTTGTGTTAATATCTCTTGAGTAGTTTTAAAGATTCCCAGGGTGCATTTAACTTATAAATCAATCTTTGTTTAATGCCTCTGAGTTTGGGGTAATTTCCCTCATGTGATTTGTGAACTACTTTCAGTAATAACCAGACTGTAATTATGTTGAGGCCAGCTGCTCAACTATGTTATTTACTCTGTGCCCATATTCTGTAATTTTGTGATCCTAAATTTGGATACCTCATAGCATGCTGATCACATTTCCTAACGAATATACCCAGCGAGAACCAGGCAGTGTGCCACCGTGGAAAGACCATGGGCTTTGAAGTCAGACAGATGACAGTCTTCATTCCAGTTTTGCCATTTACCCCTCGTGTAATTTTGACCAAATTATTTAACCTCTCTGTGCCTGAGTTGTCTCATTTCTAAAAGGGAAGTGATTATTTATACCTTATTGGGTGGTTTGAAAATTGAAGTTCAAATGAGATAATATATAGAGTGCCTGGTGTCTGGCAAGCACTAGATAAATGGTGCTTCTACTTATTTATCTTGACAGTTTGGAATGATGATCTAAGTCTAGGAAGAGAAAGTTTCATTAGAATAAATGTCGTCTAGGGGTGCCTGGGTGGCTCAGTCAATTGGGGGTCTGAATTCAGCTCAGGTCATGATCTCGCAGTTCATGGGTTTGAGCCCCACATCGGGCTGTGTACTGACAGCTCAGAGCCTGGAGTCTGCTTGGAATTCTGTGTCTCCCTCTCTCTTTCTGCCCCTACCCCACTCGCACTCTGTCTCTCTCTGTCTCAAAAATAAACAAACATTAAAAAAAATTTTTTTAAAGAATAAATGTAGTCTAGAACTCGGTAAGAAATACACAGAAATGCAAAGTATAGGATATGGAAGATGGGGCTTATCAATAACATGTGGAAAAGACCTAGGGAACCTCCGTTGACTCTCTGCTCAGTCTGAGTCCACAGTATTACGTGGCAGTCAAACAAGGTTTTAATGATAGCATCCAGATCCCAGAGGGGGACAGCTCTTCTCCACACTGCTCTGGACTCTCCCTGAATTCTAGATTTCATTTTTTGGGCATGGTTGTTTAAGAGACTCACCGATCAAGCAGAGTCTGTCCAAAGAGATGGAACCAGAGTGGTGAGAAATTGTGAGCCCATGCCTTATGAAAAGAGTAGACGGCTTGAGGAGATTTAGCCTGCAGTGTGTGTTAGAAAGTGGAGGTAGGGGAGTGGAGGCTGGAGCGACAAAATAAGTGTCCATTTCTTGAGGGTTACGTTTGACTTGTTCTGTATGGCCTAAGGGGTAAAATGATGACCAGTATAGAAGTATGGAGGAGATTGAGTTTAATAAGCCTTTCTCTCAAAGGATTAAAGGTATATAAAAATTAAACTGCCTTCCCTGGTGTTTGGTGATCATGCAAAGGCCAGATAAGTGTACTGCTAGGGGAGATTGGACTGTACTGTTTGGAGATTGGACTAAGCCCAAATGATCTTTAAGACCCCTCCAACCTTGATAGTTTTGTGATTTCATACACAAGCCAAGTATAGCTTATTTGTAATGGAGTATATAAAGAGTGATGATCAAACCCAGTCCTTGCTTCTGTAAAGCAGCTTACATTTTAATTAGAGGAGCAACACACATTTCAAAAGCTCTTAAAAGTATTAGGATGAAGTCATAATAAGAAAATGTCATAGGACTGATTATGATCAATTGCTAAGTGAATGTTGGAATTGAATTTTTTTCAAACTTTTCTGTCTTATAAAGCACCAGTCACTCTCAAAGAAACAAGTGCCCTGATGTCAGGGTGAAAAAAAGCCATATTTATATGTTTGTAGGCTATTATACTATCACTTATAATAAATGTCAAGGCCTGAACATTTTTAATAATTACTAAACTTCTCTAATAAACTTCCTAATGGGCAGATGATATGAATGAAAGTCCAGGTGCTACACTGAGATTTTAAGGTAAGAACTAAGGTGACTGAAGATTGCAATAGGATAAGGTTTTCCTTATAAAGTTTTTGAAGTTTTATTCCATAACAGACATTATGTCCAACAGGGCTAGGACAAGACAAAGCCAGTATTTGGTAAAATTGGATCATCTGCTTAGAGACAAAAGTTTTTATTCATATTATGAGAAACCAGTTTAGCACCTATGTAATCAGGGATATATATGGGAAATCTCTGTACCTTTCACTCAATTTTTCTGTGAACCTAAAACTGCTCTAAAAATTAAGGCTATTAAAAATTGGTCCACATTTGTATATATTTTAAATTAATGGAGACAAATTTAATCATTAAATTGAGTCTGATTTATGAAACTCTGAACTCATGGTAATTTCCAGGTAAGGTCACCATCAATAAACTGAAAAGACCATACTTACCACCATTCAGTTAGTCATAACTCTTGACATCTTCAGCTAAATGTTATATGTGGTTTGTCAGCAGGGTTAGGACGGGGAGGGGATGGGAGTGTTATATCAGTAACATTAACACTCGTTTGGCGTGGACTCTAGACAAGCAAAGCTGGCGTTCATTCAGCACCCAATGTGTATGGCAGGTTTAACTCTACATTGAGATAGACACCTCCAGCTTTATAACTTGATGATGGGGGTGCTGGATGGCTCAGTCGGTTAAGCGTCCAACTCTTGGTTTCAGCTCAGGTCATGATCTCACGGTTCATGGGATCGAGCCCATGGGATCAAGCCCCACGGGGGGAGCTTGAGATTCTCTCTCTCCTCTCTCTCTCTGCCCCTCCCTAGCTTGTGTTGTGTCTGTCTCTCTCAAAATAAATAAATAAACTTAAAAAAATAGCTTGACGATTGATGATTTTCTAGCCGTGAATGTCCTCCTACTAAGACCACCTGCTCACCAGTGCAACTTCTGACTATCATTTGGTTTCCCCTTTTGAGGTGCCTTTTGGGAACATCTGTAAGTTTTATTGTAGTATAAATATTCATCAGCAAATACTTGTATATCTGAAAATCTTTTATTTAAAAAAAAATTTTTTAATGTTTATTTTTTTTTTCTAAATTTTTTTTTCAACGTTTTTTATTTATTTTGGGACAGAGAGAGACAGACATGAACGGGGAGGGTGAGCAGAAGAGGGAAGAAACTAGAATCGAGAAACAGGCTCCAGGCCTCAGAACCTCAGCCCAGAGCCGACGCCAGTGGGGCCCGAACTCAGACCGGGCAGATGCGGACCTGTTGAGTGGGACGCTAACGCAGCTGCGTACCCAGAGCACCCATGTGACTGATTCTCTTTGAGAGAGAGAGAGAGAGAGGGGCAGGGAGGGACAGACACGAATCAAGTCCAGGCTCTGAGCTGTCAGCACAGAGCTGGATGTGGGGCTCAAACTCAGAGACCAAGAGATCATGACCTGAGCCGAAGTCAGACGCTTAATGGACTGAGCCCCCCAGGCACCCAATCTGAAAATCTTTTTAAAACTTATTCTCAAATAGTAACTAACACAGTTTGAAAATATTGAATGTCTCTTTCCTCATCAGTAAAATGGGGGAGTAAATTAATTCATCTCTAAAGAATTCCTTACTTTTTTTTTTTTTTTTAACGTTTATTTACTTTTGAGAGGGAGAGAGGCAGAGTGTGAGCAGGGGAGGGACAGAGAGAAAGAGGGAGACACAGAATCTGAAGCAAGCTCCAGGCTCTGAGCTGTCAGCACAGAGCCCAAAGCAGGGCTCAAACTCAGGAACTGTGAGATCATGACCTGAGCTGAAATCTGACACTCAACTGACTGAGCCATCCAGGCACGCCTAGAATTCCTTACTTTTAAAATTCTGTAGTTTTATAAAATTAGTTCAACCGTAAACAAAGTATTGGAATTATTTTCCTGGATATAGTTGTAAATATTTAATGACTTCATACTACATTATTAAAATTGTTTAAAAATGATTTAAAGATAGATGTGTATAGTGTGATTCTATGTGTGTATATTTTAATTTAAATATATATATATAAATAAGTATATACACATTTATAAATTAGATATAGCACTGTGTTTATTATTGGTTGGTTAGTACTGATTATCCCTGAGTAGTAAGATTACAGATGATTCTTGTTTTTTCTTCTTTTCCTCCAAAATTTCTACTTACCAGCTGAATTAATTTTATAATAGGAAATAACATACAACTCTAAAAATAAAAACCAGGGTGTTCGTTTTGTAAATTGTGTTAATGCAGCACTCGTTGAAACCTAACACGTTGAAGGAAGATCCAACGAGGGACCTGAAACAGCTTCTCCAAGAGTTGAGAAGTGTGATCAACGAGGAGCCAGCTGTGCCTCTGGGCAAGCCCGAAGAAGAAGGGAGAACACCATCCCTGGGAGCGTCCTATGTGGCTGTGTAAGACTGGGTGTGCTGCAGAGTGGGCAAGCTGCTGTCACCAGCGGTTTGCCATTAGTTGTCTACATGATACTCTGTGGGAGGTTGATGTTTAAACAACTTTGAAGAATATCTGACGTTACCAGGGGAAACAGTATGAAAGTGGAGAAGCTAAGCAAAAGTAAAACAACTTGATATCAAGAGTAAATAATGCCGTTATTCTGCTCATAAGCTGTCAAAGCAAGGTGTTACCCAAAGTTACAGTCATATAATAATGTATAGTTCCCAACAGATTTCACATCTAAGATCGCTTTTTAAATCTTTCTTTAATTTTTATATTGAGGGAGAGAGAGCACGCATTTAAAAATACATGGAATCTGGAAATTGTTCTTTGTATAATTAACTGAGACTTATATTTATCTATACAGAGATGATAGAGTAAGAGATTGCATTACTGAATCTCTCTCACTCGAGAGAGAGTGGGGAAGGGGCAGAGAGAGGAGACAGAGAATCCCAAGCAGGCTCTACACTGTCCATACGGAGCCTGACGCAGGGCTCAAACCCATGAACCGAACCCACGAACCATGAGATCATGACCTGAGTCAAAATCAAGAGTCAGATGCTTAACCTACTGAGCCACCCAAGTACCCCTCACACCCATAATCTTATTTGATTATCACAACCGTTTGAGCTAAGACAGAGCAGGATTTATTTATCCCATTTTACAGATGAGATAAACATAAGTTTCAAAATTTTGACTTGCCTGCAGCCGCACAATTTCGATGGTGGAGCTAAACTAGAACCTTGAAAACTACATGACTCTCAAGGTATAATCTAATAGGAAAGTCCTTGGTTCTCATTTGACAGATGAGTAAATTTAGGCATAGACTGAGTTGCCTTCTCCTATAAAGCAAAGAAGCAAAGCCAAAAGTGAAAGTTAGACCCCCTGGCTCCCCACACCAATCAGTCCACAAAGATTACCATGATCTCCCTGATGAGATGATTTCATCACTTTAGCCATTAATTATGGGCTTGAACTATTTTGGACTATATTGAACATGAATATATTTGGTACCTGCCTTTAAAGAATGTATGTTAATTTGCTATAATCTTACAAATAACCTTGTCACCAAAGCCTAAACTCAGCCGAAAGCTTTTGGGAGTCCATGGAACAGAAAATATTTCTGAGTTGAACTCCAGGGACAGCCTTCTGCAAAATTTGCTTGGAGGCCTAAGATCTACTTTTACACTTTAAAGAAGAGTTAAATACATAGGAGCAGTTGATTATTCTAAAAATAGATGGAATCAGGAAATTATTCTTTGTATAATTCACTGAAAGTTATATTTATCTGTACAGAGATGATAGAGTAAGAGATTGCATTACTGAATCAAGCCTGAGATCAGAGATATGCCAGAGGTAAGAAGAATCTGAGATTCTGAATCTAATTAATTGTCTAAGAATTTTTTATGTTTCCAGGTAATTTGGGAAGTCTGGACAGTTTACATGGGAATTTAGGGGCATTTGGGGTTCACTGAAGGAAAGCTGTTTACATTGTTTAACTGAAACTAAAGTGGATTTCAGTGCAATGTACTTTCTCAAAATCAATACGATTTTTTTTTTGCTTATTTTAAATTTTGCTACTGTTTACCCATATTAAGATATTTATAGGTATGCCATACCAAAAATGGAAGATTTTTCTACATTTACACTCATTTACAATGGCTTACATAACTTTTGAGAGGAAGGTAGTCCAGAAGGAGATGCTAACAATCTCAGTACAGGATTCTAAGAACCTCACGGAAAACAATCCTATTTTCCTCAGTAATTGAATAGCTGAATTTTTAAATGAAATCCTAAAAAGAGCGTAAAGAAATTAAATCCATAACCCCTTAACAGAGACAACTTCTGAGAACTGACTTTAACCAAAAAGGAAAAAAGGCTAATGTTAATTTGTTAATTCAGGTAAAACACAGAGGCCATTGCCCGCAGGTTTTCATGAGCTCCTCACTGCCTGCTGATTAGGTACCTGGTTCCTTAGTCTGAGGTTGAAGGAGGTCCCTAACTTGTCACCAGCCCGGTTACTCCCGTAGTGTGCTCTAACCGAAACAGACTACTGGGTCCAAGAGGAGTTCACTCCTTTTCATCTCCACACTTTTCTTCACACTGTTTCTCCACCTGGAAGAGCCATTAGCCCTAGTCTCACCTTTGAATCAGCGTTGGTGTAAAAGCAATGTTCAAACAGTGTTGTTTTATCATTAAGTAAAAATAACACCGTGTAGTCTTTCATTTCTCCCCTCCTTCTGCCAACAGAAGCAACAACTCATTAAGGGACTCCACCGAAGGTAGCAAATCCAGTGAAACTCTTAGCAGGTAAGAAATGATCTTAGCAATGCCTGAATGTCCTAATGTCCTCATTACTACTGTTTATTCATTAATTCAGCAGATTGTTAACTGTCCATGAAGTGTCATACTCCACACTGGGTCCTTAAAATGTAACAGTGGGCAAGACAGACAAACTTGGGCTTACAATGATAAGATCTGTTTATTGACTGACTGCATGGAAAAAAAAAAAACTTACTTTTATCTTTTCTATTTTCACCACCTAAAAAAAAAAATAAGAGGAATCAGAGCCTTTTTTATATCCTCAGAATAAGAAAAAGAATTCTGTTCAAATTCAGTTAGGCAGAGGCTTATTCATTGCTGTATCTTCAGCGTCAGCCATATTGCCTGACACACAGTAGCCTTTCAGTAAAGTTTTGTGTAATGAGTGAATTAAGGCAGTATTAAAAATATTTTCTTACTGTCCCTACTGCTTGATCAACAATGAACTTTTTAAGTATATCTTTATCAAAACAAATTTTGATTTTCTTCTCACCTATGTATGTGACACTACGTAACACCTATTAACAATATTTTTATTTTTACATTTTTTATTTTACATATTTTTATTTTTACATTTTCTGGATGCCATAGATATTTCATTTAGTCTGTATAGCCTAATTTTTTTTAATGTTTATTTATTTTTGAGAGAGAGCATGAGCAGGGGAGGAGCAGAGAGAGAGGAAGACACAGAATCCGAAGCACAGTCTATCTAACCTGATCTTATATCCATATGTGGGTTAGAAATGAAGACTCACATTGTTTAAGCAGCTTGCCAGGGTCATACAGCTTGTAAACAGTGGAGCCAGATTTGAACTCAGGTCTAGCTGGCTCCTGAGCTCAGGTGTGTGACCACCTCCGTGTTCGGCCTCTGTGTACCTGCACTGAGCTCCTGGGAAAGGGCCCTGTGCTAGGCACAGGGCACAGAAGGGCTGCTCCCCTGAGATGCGTCAAGCTCTGCTATAGTTTTTCCATGACCAGAAAAGTCTATTTCCTTCAGCAATGATGTGTTCGTGAAGAGACAGATTGGAGAGGAAAAGATGGGACCTAGCCCCTACCTGTGTTTGAATATTTAATAGAAGAAGAAAAGGTTTTCAGATATTTAATAGAAGTTCTGAAAAGCATGAAACATACTAGAAAATTAAAAATGCATTTGAATGCTCTATACTGTACTTCAGCACACTGGCCATTTTGGAAACTCACAAACAAAGAATACCACAGTTGCTGTTTTACTACAACGTTTCACTGTAACTGCAGCACCTTTGCTTGACTCGGCATCTTACAGCAATGTTTCTTCATTTAGAAACTTCTGCAGCCTTTTAAGCTAAATCAATATGGTCCATATACCCAAAACAGAATAAAAAAATTAAAGAAACGAACAACTCTGGTGTGTGGATTTGTGCTCGAATTATTCTGAGAGCCACATTTCTCAGAAGTTTGTGGACAATTGACTTTTCTTATTTTGTTATATTATTATAACTTAATGAGCAACATTATGCCCTAAGGAGGGTTCCCAATAGAGGCTTCAAAACATCCAGCTCCTTTTTACACATCTCCATGTGGATGTTTCAGGAGATGAAACATAATGACCTGAAGATCACAGTGACCAAAATAAAACAAAGGCGGTCATTCCACAAAACCATTCCCCTCCAGCTCATCTTGTTTCTGTAAATGGCCCCCTGCTTTCCAGGGCACCTCTGCTTAACCCTAATGTTCTCTTTGATTCTTCTTTCTTCTTTGTCGTGTTTCTCTAGTCACCAAATCTTATTCATTTTGCCTCTAAAACAGTTCTCAAATCCATTTTCTTCTTTGTACATCCTCTGGAACGGCCTGTGTTAATCTCCTATGTCTGCTGTAACAAAATTAGTTGCTTAAAATGACACAAATTGATCTCTCTTACATTTCCAAGGAGGCCCGAAGTCCCAAATCAGTTCCACCAGGTGGAGTCAGGATGTTGGCAGGTCCACACTCCCTCCAGAAGCCCTTGGGGTTAATCCATTTCCTTACTTTTTTCCAGCTTCTAGAGCTTTGTTCCTTGCACTCTGGCTTGTGGCTTCTCCCTTTATCTTCAGATAGCAGCAGAGCATAGCATCTTCAAACCTCTCTGCTGAGATTGCCACAATCGTCTTCTCTCTCACATGAAATCCCCCCTGCCTCCTTTTTACAGACCTTTGGGATGGCAGTTAGCCCCCCTCCTAAGAAACCCAGAATAATCTCTCCATCTCAGGATCTTTGATTTCATCACATCACATCACATAAGGCAACACTCATAGCACATATTTTTGGCAGCCATTATACAGCCTGCCACACTGCTCTAGGCCTTCTTACCTTTCTTATAGACTATTGCAGTGGTCTTGACAGCATTGAGTGTGGGTATTTTTAAACTCCAGTCTCATAAACATTCCAGTCACTTCTATATATTAATTTCAAATTGATCTGCCTGAAGCACACCTCAGAGTATGACCTTCCCCAAGCCCCAGAACCTTCAAAGGCTCCCCCACTGCCTCCTGCAGCAAAAACACTCTTTGCCCTGATAATTAAGACTATCCATGGCTTCCCTTTCTAGGGCTTTTCTCCTAATAGAGCTATCCTCAAACTTTTTGGTCTCAGGACCCCTTTTAGTCACAAATATTGACGATTCCTGAGAACTTTTGTTTATTGCTATTCTAAGTATTGGAAAATAAGTTTTCATATTAGCATTTTAAAAATAGAAAACATTTTGATATACCTTTAGAAACAACAGTGTGTATCACATGTTCACCTAATAGCATTTTATTATGAAAAATAACTTTTTCAAACAAATGGTTGAGAAGGCATTCTTTTACAATTTAACATGTGACTTCACAGAAGATAGCCGATTCTCATATCTGCAGTGGCATTTAATCTGTTGTGGTATCAGATCTTGTGGATCCTCTGGGAGACTCCACTGCTCATTTGCAAGAGACTGAGAGTTCAAAGCAGATGCTGATGTTAGTGTCATAATTAAGACAGTGTGGGCATCACACACCCCCTGCAAGGGAACCGCTGCCATAGTATCCTCGTGCCGTCACCCAAACCACAGAGAACAGTGTGGTTTATTTCAACCTGTTGATTTAAGTAAGTCTAATAGTTTTGTAAAGTGATACGACTATTGCTAAGAGAGGTTCCTTTTTTTTTGTCTTTTTTTTTTTTCATTTTAAAATAAGTTATAAAGATTGTGCCTCTTAGAATCTATGAGAGAAATACTTCGGGTTTATAGCTATTATAAAAATGAATTTCACAGAGAGCCTGGGTGGCGATGATGTAAGTTAGCGTCCGACTTCCCAAGCCAGGTCCGATCTACATGCGGTCGGTGAGTCCCAGCACGTCGGCTCTGGGCTGTACACCGAACCTGGAGCCTTTTTCGACGTTCTGTGCTCCTCTCTCTCTGCCCCTCCCCCGTTCATGCTCTGTCTCTCTCTGTCGCAAAAATAAATGTTGAAAAAAAAATTTTTTTAAATAAAAAAAAAAAAGAATTTTCTAACCAATATCATTATATTTTCATTCTGCAAAATGTTCATGGGCCCTGAACGATTAACAATAATGCAACTTGGGATCTCCCTGATATTTTTTGATTTCTGCGATTTAGGGTCATAACTGCCATCCTTAGCTTGTATTTTAGTCTGTCACTTTTGTGTGCATTAGCTTGCTTCTGTCCATAAATCTTAGTACCGTATTTGTGAATTGGAATGTCTGCATGACCATTCTTATGCTTCCAGAGAGCCGGTCACATTACAGACAGGAGACCTAGAAGATCCATCTAGTTGTTTTACATTCCCATCTACAGGTGAGTGAAAAGTACACAAGACAGGCCTGCTTCAGACTCTGCAGTGGCTTCTCATTTCCATGCGAGTGGAAGCCAGGTATGACAGCAGCCTGTAAGTCCGCATTAACTCTCTAGGCTTATTTCCTCCTACTCCCCCCCCTCCCCCCATTCACTCTGTGTCATCTACCCTTGAATTGCTCCTTGAACATCCCAGGCAGCTTCTGTACTAAGGCCTTTACACCACTGTTCCTTACACATTGCTAACCCTTCACCTCCTTTAAAGGCTCTGCTCAGATGTCACTTACCCAGTGAAACTACTCTCATGACCTTCCGCCAGAATTGTAACTCTCCCATGCTCCCAATCACCCTTTTTTGTTTTTTTTTAATTACACTTAGTATCTTTTAATATGTAACTTACTAATTTATGTTGTTCATAAAGGTGACTCTGTCGCCTCCTGTTAGACAAAAGCCGCACAAGGGCAAGTATCATTTGGTTTCCTGATATATCCCAGGCACATAGCAGGTGCTCAATAAATACTTATTGAACGGATGAAAAGAAAAAGAGAAGAATTGAGACAGATGGTTCTTTTTATAATTTCCAAAGACATAATGCTATCTGTTAAACAAGGGAGTCAAGGAAGAGATTGAAAGATAACAGAATCTGTTGAAAAGCAAAATGGCATAACAGACTAGAAATGGAAGAGAAAATAAAAACATTACAGGGGGAAGAAAACCTTAGGAAAAAACATAAATGGGATAGGCATGACTGAAATCACAGGGACTTGATAGACCTTCTGTGGGGAAATTACACAAAAAGAGTTTTTAAAACTAAGACAAAAATAATTACAGAGAATATGTTATGGGGAGCCTGGGTGGCTCGTTGGTTGAGCATCCAACTTTGGCTCAGGTCATGATCTCAGAGCTCATGGGTTCAAGCCCCACATTGGGCTCTGTGCTGACAGCTCAGAGCCTGGGGCCTGCTTCAGATTCTGTCTTCGTCTGTCTCAGCCCCTCCCCTGCTTGCACACTGTCTCTCTCTCTTTCTTTCTCTCTCTCTCTCAAACATAAATAAACATTTAGAAAAATTTTTAAAAAGATTTGGAAGGTGTAATTGGCCTTCCTATAGAAGAGACTAAAATGAATAGAAAAGAATGAAGCTGTGAAAATGATGGTTATTCAACAAAGGCTTAGCTGTAAATCTGGACAGTAATATAATACAGAAATAATGTAAATAAGGAAAGTTGAGGTATGAGGTGAAAGAGATAGGAGAAAGATAAATCTCCATATTTTCTTGTTTTTTATGGAAGATTGTCAGTATATATCTAAAAAAACAAAACAGTTTTAATAAAATAAATGCAAATTCTTAATTTTTGAATAATCTTTAACTTGTGAGAAATCTTTTAAGAACTATATTTTGAAGAAAAGGACCATTTATTTGAAGTTAATGCTTTGAGGTTTACTTCACTTACATGTTTTACTGTTGTTTTAATAATTACCCAAGAGGGGCGCCTGGGTGGCGCAGTCGGTTAAGCGTCCGACTTCAGCCAGGTCACGATCTCGTGGTCCGTGAGTTCGAGCCCCACGTCAGGCTCTGGGCTGATGGCTCAGAGCCTGGAGCCTGTTTCCGATTCTGTGTCTCCCTCTCTCTCTGCCCCTCCCCCGTTCATGCTCTGTCTCTCTGTCCCAAAAATAAATAAACGTTGAAAAAAAAATTTAAAAAAAAAAAAATAATAATTACCCAAGAGAATACAACATGTATTCTTGCCTTGTTAGATTAATATAAATGAGAGCTTTACTTTTTTCTTGCATTGTGAGTACTTTAGAACATGTTAATTCCACTCACTATTCTTTCACATTATATAACACTTGTTGTCACATGTATATTTTAATTATAAAGGTAAACATCACAATGGATAATTTGCATTGTTTTATACAGTTAATATCCATTTAGATATACCCATGTGTTTATACTTTACTTTCTCTCTGGTGTCATTTTACCCTCAATGCCTTTAATTTTTCCTTTAAGGTAAGTCTGCTGGTGATATATTCTCTCAGTTTCTGTTTTTCTGCAGTTGTCTTTATTTCGTCATCATTTTTGAAGAATATTTTTGTTGAGTTTAGAATTTTAGGACATTTTTCTTTCACTTTGAAAATATTCCATGGTTTTCTGGTTTCCACTGTTTCTATGAGAAGTCAGCTCTGAATTTAATTGTTGCTCATTTAAATGTAATCTTTTTTGCCCTTTTGGCAACTTTAGGATTGTTTTTGTCTTTGATTTGTTTTTTGAGGTTTTTGGGGTGTTTTTCTTTTTCTTTTTTAGCAGTTGTTATTGATATGTTCAGGTATGGTTTTCTTTATGTAAGAAGTACCTGTTTAGGGTTTGGAATAATGCTGCTTAAATCTGTGGTTGTCTGTGCCTCCACTATCCAGATCTTGTGGGTCTATACCTATTACTTGTATATATGATTTTTTCTCTTGGTTTTCTGCCATATCGTTTTGTCTCCTTCTATGCCTGTTTGTTTTTATTCTATGAAAGACATCTGTGAAAAATTGTTCAAATGGTTGGAGGCAAAGAATGAGGTTACCTTCCTCCAGATAGCATTCATGCTTGCTTCTGGTAGACAACTAAGAACACCACAATCCCAGATCAATTTAATCCAATCGGGAATTAAGATAATTTGAAGCTAGATCTCAAGATCCCCAAAGGCAGGTCTTGTTCCTGTTCATCCTTATTTCTAAGACAGCCCTTTGCAGTTCTAACCCAAAGCCTTGGGTATTTATCGGAACATCCCCTTACCCCCATCATTGGGAATATTTTCTCATGAAAGTTTGACTTTTTGAGAAGTGCAGTATACTATTTTTAACTATTTCTGTCCTTTTGCTTCTGTTCTTGCAAAATTTTAGCAAGTCCATCTGTGAAAAATTCAGCTTCTCGTTCATTCCATTCTTCTCCTAAGAAGTCTCCAGTTCACTCACTCCTAACTAGTTCGGTTGAAGATTCAGTAGGTTCCACATCACCATATAGATCCACGAAACCCGTTCTTTCACCTGATTCTGTTAAAGGTAAGAATGATCTGATGTCATTGATGAGCTTAATTGGTTTCCTCCTCTGGTGAATTGAAAGTTCTTTTCCATAATCAGAATTAATAAGATCTTATATGGTGTTCTTATATGCAAACTCTAACTGATGCTGTGTAATTTAAGTGAGTCTTAATAAATAAGCTTAAATAAAACAGCTATTGCATGCATGCACACACTCTCTTCTTAATAAATATGCATAGATATTGTATGTGAATATTTTCTCTATTACTCTGACATGAATAATGAACTCCCCCCCCCCTGCATTTTATTATAAGATTTTGGTCTTTTTTTTTTTTTTAATGTTGTGACTTTTCTTTCTTATTTACATTCTCTCAAATCATGACTCTCTTCAGTCTCTGCCTTTGTAAGTGCAAGTATTTATCATACAAATTTGTCAGATGTCCTCATTTCTTAAATGTTAAGTTCATTTGTTATTTGCTAAAACAGATAAGGAAAATGGTTTTATTTAGATTAAGCGCATGATAAATAAGTGGACATTGTGTGTGTGTGTGTGTGTGTGTGTGTGTGTGTGTGTGTATACTGACTTGAACTTGAAATGTTTTTACCATATATTGACAGCAATGCAAACAACCCCGTGCTCTCTGGCATCAGTCCCTTTGATAAGTGATAAACTAGGCAAATTGTTGCATCACTGTTAAGTCAGCTCTCAGCCTTTAGAAATTCTATGCCTCATACATTTCTACATCTCCCCAAAATCTGCAAACCACAACATAATCACAGATTTTAGTACATTTTACCATCTTTTTTCTGTATTTTGTCCTCCATCCTCTCTTACATTTCTGAGTTATTCCTTGGTGTCTTTAAAAATACTAAATACTAAATAAAAATACTTTTTAAAAAGGGCAAATTCTTGAGCTCTAATAAGAGCTGTGACTACTCTAGAAGTAGAACAGTACTTCTGGTCACCTCATTATTAATTTGTGATTACATAATAGCATGGAATTTCCTTTTTTTTTCTATTGTCAGATCCTAATCAAACATCATGTATTTTATATTATCCATGTGAAAAATATCTCTCTGAGGAAGTGGTTTTCATCCTCTTGAACTAAAGTAATTCTTAGATGATTGCCTCTAATACTAATGTCTGTTACTGAAAAGAGTGGGTTTTTTTTTATAGGAAAATGAGCCACCAAAAAATATTTCCAAGATTATACAGCAAGTCAGGGACTAAGATCAAAGTTAGGATTTCAGGGTTGCCAATCAACTATCTTTTAGAGATCAGCAAAACGTAGCATACTTAGTAGAGGTTAGCTTACCGGCTTCCAACCCCTCTTCACTTGCTCCTCCCACATGTATTCCAGGCTCACTGTGGCCATGTCAGGATCCAGACTCCCTCTCCCACCATGTAAAACTGTCCTCATTCAGGTGACAGCCACTAAAATGGGCACTTGGTCTCACACACATTCAAAACTATTGCCAGTGTCGGTATTAAGTCTTGCTCTTCCAAATCCTAAATTAACATATCTACACAGGTTTGGTATGAAAAGCTGTCATTTAGAATGAATGTATCATTAAATTTAAAGTATTCCTCTCGCTCATCCCATTTAATGCTATGTAGTTAAATAATAAAAAGCCAGATTGTTTTGAAACAAATTCAAATAAGCTAGTGTTGGAATATTTAGATAAAACACTTTTTAATTTGTATAGTGTTTTAAAGTTTCCATTATTTTAAAAGAAAGGTTGTTTAACTTGTAATTGGAAGATTTCTAAAAAGAAATACTGAATAGACTTTTAATATCACATCTAAGCAATTTTCTAATAGCTTCACAGTCTCAGCCAATAGAAACAACAGGAAAAACATGTCGGAAGCTTCAGAACAGACTGGAAAGCTTGCAAACTCTGGTAGAAGATTTACAGATGAAGAACCAAGGTACAGTGTACATTTCGGAGAGATCTCCCTTGCTCAAAAGAGTACTCACCTTCCCTTCAGGTTAAGCCTGTTGTCTATAGACCCGCAGAAGAGGATATTGAATAAGCAATTCAGAAACATCAAGTCAAAACATGAAGGTCTTAACCATGACTAACCCCCAGATTAATTGTGTGACCTCGGGCATGTCACTTTAGCCCTGCTCTACTCCGTCATCTAACAGGGATGGTAATACTGCTGACCAACCCTCCGTAGGACACGTTTTGAGCAGTTTTTCACACGACACTTTCCCACCCATTATCTTTCTTATCCCTGTTAGGTCTGCACATAAGCATTTGTATGACGGTAGCCAGGATAAGCTTGTAGTTGATAGCTGGAAGACAAAATAACCATATTTCACCTTACACGGAATTTAAATTAGCATAGGCTAGAAGAGACTATGCCACCCAGTGAATCACTAACTAAAAAGATAAACTACTTTCAAATGCACTAAAGCTGTTTGAATGAGAAACTGTCATACTCTGCAGATGGTAGGTAAATTTGGGGGCATAAGTTCTAAGTGGTTGTTCCTGTGGATGTGGGAAGCCCATCATGTTTTATGCTTTTCTGGTATAAATTCACGAATCCAGGAGTCTGTCAGAGAGAAATGATTTTGGAGTATACTTGTTAATTCTTAGCCCATCTTTCTATCTCTAGAGAATATAAGCTGCTAGATGAAGGATAGTAAATATTTTTCTAAGAACAATTCCTTATAAAGAAAATTTAACCTTATCAATAATAATAGTTGCTATTAATATTTCTTGAACACTTACCAGCTGTGTGGCAGGCCCCGTATTCAGTGTTTGATTATTTATGTTTTCTTCATGTGAGCCTCACAATACTGGGAGGTGGGTACTGATATCAGGTCATTTGAAAATGAGGAAACTGATGATCAGATTACAATCAGTAAATCGTTAAGTCACACAACGAGTAGTATATCTGAGACTTGATCTCTGCAATTGCTGCTTCCAAAGTCCACGTTTTTCAACATGCTGTGGCTATGCCAAATTGTTATTAAGGCAAGTTCCAGATCCTTTCTGTTAATCCCAGATCCTTGTGTATACAAACATTAAGAAAACATTTGATTTTAAGTTTGTTGTGATATTTTTAAAGGATGCGTTATCTTATTGGCCCCATTTTTATTCACACTTTGACTTATATTTCTGAATATATATCTGAGTAATGCTGCCATATAATAATCCAAATGGGAGACATGTTATATTTGTTTAAAAAATAAAAAGACCTTTTTATTTGATGAATTGCCTGGATGGAGTGTCTCTTGGAAGTTATGAAACAAATATTTTGGGAGCATTTATCAAAACTTAAAGTGTATATATGCTTTGACCCAGAAATTCTACCTCTAGCAATTTATTCAAGAAAAAATTGTACAAGCACACAAAAGTCTGTTTATAAAAGTATAGGAAATAAAAGTATAGGAAAAGTATAGGAAATACTTTTATAAACAGACTTTTGTGTGCCACCAATGCCACCATAAATCGCTATTACAATACCACTGACTATATTTCCTGTGCTGTACCTTTCATCCCCATGACTCATTCATTCCATAATTGAAAACCTGAGAAATCAACTTGTAAGAATTTTATTTACTAACATGTTGGTACATCCATATAATGGAATACTGTACAGTCATAACAAAACATGAGCTGAACTGGAAAAATGTTGACATTTTTTAAGTGAATAAAGCAAGCTACAGAACAATCTATACTACATATTTCCACTTGTGCAAAGAAGGAAAGTGTGTGCACGTGCGTGCATGTACACGAAGATATTTACCAAACTGCTTTCGGTGACGACTTCTGAGGGGAGTTCAGCAGGTTGAGGGAGCAGAGACGAATACCTTCACCTTCATCTCTCTTTGCACCCTTCTGAGGTGTTCAAATTATTTACAATTAGTATGTATTATTTCTATAATGAGTATGCTCACTTAAAACAACTGAAAGAGTAAAGATTTACCCTTAGCTCTGTCCATAACATCAGTCTTTTCAAAAATATGCTGCTTTGCAATTTTTAAGAACTTCCCGATCTCAGAATGTGTCTCTTCTATAGTAGCAAGCTGACCTTTTAAGAAGCACATTATAAAATTCAAAGGCAGAGTAGATGTTGCTAATCTAATTTTGTTTTATCATCACTTTCAGCAATGTCTTCAATGATCAGAAATCAAGAAAAGAGGATACAGAAAGTGAAAGACCAGGAAAAAATGTTACTAAAATGATACATTGCTTGCCTGTTCTTTACAGAGGGATGATGCCCAAATAATTGTGGTGTTGCTTATAATTAGTGCCCTGTGTAGTTTTTTTCTTTTTATGTGAAAATTTAATAAAAGATACCTTCCCCTGTAAACTCTATTTTGAAATAAACTATTCTTCAATGCTCTCACAGTAAAACTTCAAACAGTTCTAACTAGATGTGAAAGTCTGCATCCCTTAAAAGGTATTAATTTGTGCTAAGACCCATGTGCTGGAACAATTGTGTGGTTTTTATTATCTTTACTGGTGCTGAAGCAATAGTTATTCTTTCCAGCTTCAAAAAAACTTGACACACAAGTAAAATATGTGGTATAATGCCCAGAAGGACAAACTCCAAGGTACTGACAGGGATCCTTTTGTGACCCTGAACTCACTGTTCCATCAGTATCAATGAATGTCATCAGATAACACAACATCGGGGCCCCTAATCAAAACTTTTAGAAAAGTTTTTTTCTAAAAAAACGTTTACATATTAATAACTGTAAAGAAAGAAACAAGAATGTGTTCTTCAGCCGGTGGGTAACTTCTAGATTGAATGGATTCAGCCTGTTTACTTACATTTTATTAGATTAGGAGGGTTTTGCATGTGGATTGTTTTCTAGCACCAATAACCAGCTAGGTGTCCTAGGAGTCCATTCAACTCTAACACTAACTACCTGGAGTTAGTATCAGATTCTCCAGGTCTAAGGGTTCAGTCCCACAAGACCTCCCCCCACTTCAGATGCAGTTGCAAGTTCTGGGCTACCTGTACTCTGGCTATAAATTGGAGTTTCCCACACCCCCCTCCCCAGTTTCACTAACTTGCTAGAACAGATCACAACTCAGAAAAGCACTTTACTTACTATTACCAGTTTATTTTAAAGAACACAACTCAGGAACAGCCAAATGTAAGAGAGGCACAGGGCAAAGTATAGTGTTTGGTACACGAGGCTTTCATGCACTCTCAAGGCATGTCACCCTCCCAGGACCTAGACGTGTTTACCAACCTGGAAGCTTCTGAAATCTTATTCAAGAGTTTTTATAGAGCTTAATCCGCAGTCCCCTTCTCCTCTTTGGAGATCAGGGAAGCGGGCTGGAAGTTCCAATCCTCTAATCACTGGTCTTCCTGCCAGAGACGACAGGGACAGCAGAAGGGTAGCTGTCTAAAAGATGTCACCAAGAAATGACTGCCCTGCTAGAGACTATTCCCCAGCCCCAGCACCACCACATCTACTGACCAGGCCTCACTAAAGGCTTGTGGACAAAGCAATATGCAGCACTTTCTGGCCAAAAAGTTTAGTAAGCATTTGTGTTTTTCCTCACTTTATTTCCCCTTCCATGAGCTGGACACAGTGGACAGCAGGGTCCTAGGGGATGGCAGAGCCGCAGGACAGAAGCAGCTTGGGCAACAATCTGCAGGGAGAGCTGCCCTCCTGCCAGAAATACCCACTGCTGATTATTTAGTGAGCAAGAAACAGGCTTCCGGTGCAGCCTTCTTAACATGCATGGTGTCTGTCTGTGACAGCAGCGGTATTAGTCCCAACTGGTGCAGATAATAGTGACTAAATCCTCCTGTTTCTCCTCTAAATGACAGTGTTAACATGCTAAGCATGTCCAATTTTACAGTATTTTTTTAAAATATGAACTTTAAGGGGCACCTAGGTGGCTAAGTCGGTTAAGTGTCCGATTTCGGCTCAGGTCATGATCTCACGGCTCATGGGTTGGAGCCCAGCTCAGAGCCTGGAACCTGCTTCGGATTCTGTCTCCCTCTCTCTCTGCCCCTCCCCCACCTGCGCTCTTCCTCTCGAAAATAAACATTAAAAAAAATTTTTAGTATGAATTTTAATATATGTATCTCTTACCTCAATTGGTTTTACCAAAAGATTTTTATTTCATCAGGTAATGATAAAATTGCTAGTGAAAGAACTCTAAAGAAATTTTTATTGCAAACTGTTTTACTTTAAATTTTACCTAATAGAAATGCTTGGGCATTTTGTGCAGTAATAGTAAATGCCCTCTGAAGACCTTAGTGGTAGAGTGTGAAATTCATTATAAAGTATATGAAAAGTATATGTGGATTTTACATATACATGCTAGGAGCCAAAAACTATCATAGTTCTTATAAGCACTTTCTATTTTCTTTTGGGTTTATGCTCTTTTCAGCAAACACCACCTGTAACCAGGATTAAACACTGTTTTGCCAAACGATGTTATACTTACTACAAGTTGTTTTAACATATAAGAGCTCATTTTCGAGTACAAGCATGCATAATATCCCTCCAAATAATGGTGAAGTTTTTAAAAAGTTCTAAAATGTTTTCCCCAAAGAGAGGAGAAAACGGACCTCTCTTGCGTCTTGATTTTTTCTATGCATCTGTTACTAGTGGAGGAAAATATTGGCATTTTATATCTAGGCTATTATGGTACTAAGATTTGGACAAATAATTCAGACATTTAATGAAGGTATTAAAACTCAGGTTTTATTTCTTCAGTATAATAAAGTTTAAATGTCTTACTTCTTCTCAGAACAAGGATGTACCTGTGTGTCACTGTCCTATTACAGTTTTGTCACCCAGGATAGCTATCGGTATGAAAGGGAAGGGCAGGGGAAATGATTGCTATGGGACAGTCCTGTCAGTCCAGACCCCCTGTGAGACAGGAGGGGTGGGGGTGGGGCAGTCCTGCAAAGGCCCTGGAGGTAAATGATGGCTGAGTCTGTCTTCTCTGCGGTCAGGCTATACCTGGACCTCCCAGCCCTCTAAGAGGCGTCACTCAGGCCACCTAGCTCAGCCTAGCTCACCTTCATCCAGTTCACACTTCCTCTCTTCGTGGTCTCCTCCCAATGACAGACCCGGACTAGGCTCCTTGTTTCTACACCGGTCTGCAATCATTAAGACAAAGACTTACTTGCTACTTTCAAACCGGGGCTAGCACGTAAAATCAAGCAAAAAAAACCAAAACAAACAAACAAAAAAAACACTGGGGAGTCTTAACGTATAACCTCATATCCTTGCTAACCACCTCTTGTGACCGTATTTTTTTTTCACAGTTCCACATGGCATTAACTATTTTTAAATATAGAGTGTGCACGTAGTAAGGAGTTTCTCCAGTCGTACCAGTAGGAAGGCAGCTCTTTATGAATGAGACGTGTTTCACTCTCTTGGTTTAAGGGTCACCCAAAGGCTCAAGCTTGAACCCTGTGCAGCTGGTTGGTTTCTGCGTGCTCTGGCCAGTCCACACCTGAAGCTTAGCCAAGTCACTCCCCAAGAGGACTAAGCTCTGAAATAACGATGGATCAGCAAAGACCCACCCATCGATGCCACAGGGGAAAAAAAAGTCCATGCTCACCGAAAGCATATACCTACATCTGTATTTCTGCACATTAGACAAAAGCCGCTAGCAAATTTGAAACAACTCTGATGGCTATATTTGGAGTTATACTTCCTTTATTTAAAATTATTCAGTGTGCTCCACAAATAGCTTCTCTAGTACTTTGAAAACTGAGTCACTGAATCCCCCACCGCTTTTGTACCACTCTATCCTCACGGCCAGTCTCCAGGAACCTATTGCTGCATTCTTCCCAGCGGGTAATTTTCCCATCGTCTACCACTACGAACTTCCATTCCACCACTGTGTCTGCTGGCAGGGACACAGAGTGAGACCAGAACCCGTCCTCGCTATACTGGAGTGGGATGTAAGTGTTCCACCTCCCAAGGCTCTCATGGTCTCCAGTTACTGCAATGAATTGCCCACCAGTGCTTGTGACATAATGGACCTGGAACCTGATACTAACTTGCTGAGACTCTGAAGACATTGCTACCCCCTTTTTGCGTTTCACATCCATTTCCTGACCTCTTGGTTCCATACGAGTGCTTCTGCCACAGTCCATTCCCTGGTTTGGGCTTAACCCTGGAGCCTCAAGACCGCCACCCAAACCAACATCTCCCCAAGAGGAGTGCCTGGACACCATTTCCCAGTCCTCATTGTCAGCCCGGTCCCGACTGCTCAACTCGGCAAGGCTCACTTCTTTCCCTCTGTCAACGACCAGGTTGCTAGAATACAACTTTTCGGCAAAACATGGAGCTGCTTTAGCGAGTGTCTCTTGTCCTTTCTGGAATCCCCATTCTGCCAGAGGAGACTGAAGCCTTTCATTTCTTGAAACTGCAGAGTAACCCCTAGAGTCACCAGTCCCAGATGTAGCTAGAGATTCTGTGTCTGGAAACTGTCCAGAAGGAACATGCTCTCTCGAACTGTCACAATCACCGTCTTTTCCAGAAGGACTCTGCTGTCTCCATGTTGCTTCCTGCAGGTTACCATGGCCTTTGGTCTCTGAAACCAAACATCCATTGCTTTCTTGAAGATGCTCTAAAAAGCAAAAGGAAAAATGTAATAGTGTCAGGCAGTTCATGTGAGAAAAAAGGCTAAGAAAATAGGTTTATTGAAGACTTTACCACTAATCTATCTGCAGTCCACGAAATCCATCTCTATTAAAAGCAAGTGCTTAATTACCTAGTTAAGACACTAACTGAACCAACAGCACGCTTTAAGAACATACATGTATACGCAACAATAAAAGGCACATCTGGGAGTGTCCGTGTGCTCACACAAGAATGTAAATGAAGTGGCCAGTTGTAGAGGCAGCAGTTTAACCCTGTCATGGTCCTTGATCTCTGCAGTCCAGGCTTTATTGGCATACAGCCAAGTTTGGTTTCTATCAGCAGAAAATGCCGTCTACCTGTGGGGCAAAGATCCACACAGCTACCCTACAGACCCTACGAGTACACCTGTACTCCCAGGAACTGCCAGCAGCCCAGGGATCAGCTCTCACAGATGTGGGCAGATCCACAGCAGCTGTTGCTATGGTTGGGGGGCTGGGGAGGCGGGGGGGGGGGGGGGGGGGGGGGGGGGGGGGGGGAGAGATACAAAGGATAGCAGTGCATCATCGAACAAGGATTGGGGGTGAGGGTAGGGGGAGAGGGCTGGTTTCTCCTTGCCAACCCCATATGCATCAGAAGTAAACCTTGGGGGGCCTGGATGGCTCAGTTGGTTAAGCTTCCTAGTCTTGGTTTCGGCTTAGGTCATGATCTCACAGTTTCATAAGTTTGAGCCCCACCTCACCGGCTCTGCGATGGCACTGTGGGCCTGCTTGGGATTCTCTCACCCTCCCTCTCTGCCCCTTCCCTGCTTGTGTGGTCTCTGTCTCTCTCAAATAAATAAAGTAAACCTTTTTAACAAAACAGAGCCTTTTTACATCCCCTCCCATTGTACACTTTTAAAAAACATGTTCTTACAGTACACAGTCCAAGCTCCCTAAAGGCTCAGTTTCCTTCTTGGCCACCTCACTGACAGTCGGGATAGTTCCCTACAAGATGGAAGTGTCCCAAGTCATACAATCAGCATAGATGGGAGGGTCTCTTTCTTTTGGGGGTGGGGGTTGGCCTTGTTTAATTTTATCTCCTTTTAATGGTGGAGTTGTGAGACGTAAAAACATTGCCCTGAATTCTCAATCTTTCAATCTAAAACATGAGACTGGCTTCATGAAGACGGAGGAGCTCTCTGCTCATCTCAAACCAATCGCAGGAAAGGCACAGAGGCAGTCTTTCAAATGGCTACACATGAACACCGACTCCACTAAAAATAAAGTTCCCAGATGTCATTTTCACCGCTCGGCTGGAGTCCAGGCATGGGCAGCTGGCCAAGGGAGGGCACTGGGAGCTAAGGTTTTCTGCCAGTCCTCTTACTTTGTGTAGCACAGTCTCTAACATGTACACATGTAAACCTGGATGTCAATTCTACTCATTGGAGTTGGGTGCCCTATTAGGTAGGTCCCCTCCCGGGGCATTAGACAACCCTATGCTTTGGGGTCCCACGACCCTGAAATGGGCAGCCAGCATACAGCCCTAGGGCTTCAGCTGAGGCCTTCCTGGCCAGAGTCCAACCTGAACTTTGCCTTCCTGACAGAAGCATCCAGATAGCGGGAGGTGCTCAGCGCCTGGGAGTTAGTTCCCAGACCCAGCTCCTCCATGGGGTGAGGTAGGGGAGGACGTGAGGTTATGGGATTGGGACTGAGAAAGTGTCCCTGCTCGGTCTGAGATTGAAGAGGGTTGTAGGATCTCTCTGAACCTAGGCATGCCCTTTGTAAGGCCCGGAAGGGGCGCCGCCGCCGCCGCCGCGGCCGCCCGCACTGCGCCAAGCTCAGCCACGCAAAGGAGCCCATCCCCCTCGGGGTCCTCGGGGGCGGGCGCCCAGGGTAGAGACTCTGCTCGCTCTGCCCTCGGACGATGGGTCGGGGAACCTTCGGAGCCTCCGAGGAGGGCGAGAAACCTGCCCGGCGCGTGCGCACTAGCCTGGGAAAAAAATGAGAGGCGTGGGGAGGGTCCTACCCGGGGTAGGGGAGGTTAGTCGGTGGAAAGGGCCAAGAGAAAAACTCCAGGTGGGTTTTTTTTCCTCCCTCGGTGAACTCCAAAGCCCCCATGGCAGATCTGCCCTCGAGACGTGGGAGGAAGAATACCTGCTTTGGTGACCAGATCCCGCCTGGAAGGTACAGGGCTCGGTCCCCCGCCGCCACCCTGATCGCTTCCCGGAGCCGCAGCCTCCCCCTGAGGGGCGTTCCGCTCCGCGTCGCTCTCATTCCCCGCGTCCCGCAGCAGCCAAACGAAAATCGCTCCGGCCAGGCCCCCTCCGACCAGCAGGGCCGACCAGACGGCGCCCATGGCTGAGAGGCCGCAGCTGCGGGAGACGACGGCGACCGGGAACCGGGACTCGGGTCACGCAGGCAGAGCCACACCTACCCCGCCCGGCCCAGCCTTCTACGGTCCCGGCGGCCGGCGCTCCTGCGCGGAGCCCAGCCCACGGCGACTAATACTCAACTTTCCCAGCCCCGCCCCGCTTCCCGCCCCGGGGCTGCAGCCCCAGGCTCCGGCCGGGCGGAGACTCGGGCGCCCTCCTTTTCCAGCATATTCATTCCCGACCCCGCCCCGCGGCTGGCGGCCGAGCGCCCGGGTGCCCCGTTCCACGTGTGGCCCGCGCGCGGAAAGAGCCCAAGTGCGCACAGCTGCCGCGCGCCGGCCGGGCTCTGCCCCACCGCCGTTCCTCCCCGCTCCAGCTGCCCGCAGGGCCGGGTCGCGCTTCGGCCTGCGCCCGGCGCCTCGGCGCCTCCTCCCCGTAGCCTCTCAGCGGCGGCGCGGCCAGCCAG